GGATGGTGGAAACTTCACACTATTCCAGAGCCAGGCGGACGTTTCATTTAGGCACATAGGAGTAAGGGACACTACGATAGTGAAGAGCCCAACTCACATACTTAGAGACACAGAAACATACCTCCTAAGGAGCCGCATTCGTAAGAAGAGAAATTAGGGAATAGGACCGCAGTCTAATTATTGATTAAAGAACTCACAAAATTATAGTGATGAAAACACAGACGGCAACCTAATTACAAGGATTACAACCATGGAGCATGAGACCCTCTGTATCCAAAGATGACTGTGAATTTTCTTTAACTAATGAATGAAGAAAAACTCGTACTTAATCTCCGCAAATATTTTGTAAGAGGGAAGTTCTGAATTAGAGGATATACAGTTCGCGGCGATACAGGCAGAACTTTGGTTGGAGAGATCTTAGACTTTTTATATAGTACTCGATGGGAATGATATTGGGATCTCCGAATAAATTTATGACTGTGAGGGGGATTAATTTCTGGCTAGCCACTTTGTGTGCTTTGGGAATGCGAGATAATGACGACTTTCAGAATGTAAATATTGTAGTTTGGCCCTTTAGGTCAGTTTATGTTGAGGACCTATTAGCGTCTTGAGAAGACACAGAGTAGGGATTATAAGGAAAGCAAATGCACTTGTACAATCCAAACATCACCCAAAGTCGGAGTCCCGATAAAAGAGTACCCAAAGTCATGAAACAACCAGAGAGTCCTTATCAGAAACTATATGTGTCAAAATGCATCTCATCACTTTCCTTATAAATGCCAGAAGTGACCACTGTGCTACTTGAGATTTTTCCAGGATTTTCTACTAAGAGGTCATGTTACCTTGAGGTTTTTGTATGTATTTATGAGCGACTTCTTTGGGGAGGCCAAATTAGGGTGGTTGTTTTCAGATTCCTGCTATAAAGAGGTGGCTGGAATATGATGAACGGGTGCAGATTATTACAGAAGATGATTCAAGGCGTTACTAGCAAAATGTGACAGCACAAAGGTGTTCCTTATGCAGCAGAAGGTGCGTATCGAAGGTTTTAAGATTCACATGCTTCACACCTTAGAGGAATTGGAGCGAGAACGGACTTTTGGAGGCCTTATACATGAAATATCAAGACACCATCAGTTTCAAAGGGAATCTTTGACATTTATAACTCTCTCCTCATTTCAGGGGCAGTACAAGAAGCCAGTTGGATGTACACAATGAGTGGGAGTAAGTTACAAATATCCACCAGTTTAAAATGACAACGATCAAATAAGAAATGGGATTAGCAAAACGCGTCTCGGGAACTCAAGGCCTGCTACTCCTTATGTACAGTACTTCCACCTTGTGCTTAGCCGATGTGGGATTTCGCCTAAGGTGCAGTCCCTGACAACATGTGAGGTTGAGGATGATTCAGTTGGGCTTAGTGGAAATGGGATTGATGTAACAGAAGAGCAAATGGGAACTCAAAGCCAGCCTCATAGGAAAGGAAAGGAACCTGAAACAACTCACATACTTAGGCACAAATTTAGGGGCAAGAGAGATAAGGCAGCTAATATTATAGCTAAAAATTGTGATGAAAAAGACACCTCAGATGACTGTGAATTTTCTTTAACTAATGATGAAGAAAATCCTTCAACCAATGTAAGAGAGGTTGCTGCAGAAGATTTAGATGACAGTTCTGAATATGAGGATGATGATGTGGTTGATGGGAATGACTCAGATGAATTGAGTGGCTTAGGCTCTGATGTTGAAAATAGGCTTGAAAGCAATGATAAAGAAGAACTTGTACAACAAACAGGGAGGAAGAGACCAAAGTTGAAAGGTCCTTTCAAAAATATGTGTCAAAATCACTATACAAATGCAAGTGATGGCACTATTCAATTTCAAAGAGGTCAGACATTTGATGATGGCGATTCCTTTAGGCAAATTTTTTTCAGATTCTGCTATAAAGGGTGGTTATGTGCTACGTAGAATGAAGAATGATTCAATTAGAATGACAGCAAAGTGTTTAGGAGAGGGTCACAGTTTTAAGATTCATGCTTCACACCTTACAGATGGCACAACTTTCATGATTAAGACCCTCCAAAATGAATATTCTTGCATTCGGCCAGATGGAAATAAAAATCCTAATGCAACCAATAGATGGATTAGGAGAAAGCTTACGGATGAGTTTGAGGCTGATCCTAATATTAGCTATGGACCACTTTAGTTCCAATTATAACGGCAATTTAGAGTGAAATTGGATGGAAGGATCGATTAATGTAACGAACCATTAATTTAAGGACAACAAAGTTATTTGTTGAATAGTAGAAGGACGTAAATGTTAATTTGATAATAATTCAGGGATGAAAAAGTATTTTAATCTTTTATTTTTGTATTATTCCACGAACAAGACATAATAGCACCAAAAAAACTAGAAAAGGAGAATTGCTAATGAAGCATGAATAAATAAATAGAGAATAATAGTTAAAAAAAAAAGTAACATACACAGATGTAGGCAAGAAATTTTTATTTTCTAAAAAGCTCTTTATTAATTGGTTTAATATGTCTGGTCACACATACCAGGTGTAGATAAATCATATTCAATAAATAGAGCGTATATAAGCTACTGCAAAATTTCTTTAAACAAGGGCTCTTGTTTTTTCTAAATTAAAAAAAAAAAAACAAACGGAAAAGTAACTAAATCACCTGTCTAATTCACCACAACCCTACATGAATAATCATATTTATTACTATAAAAATTTGTTAGCCTATTATTATAACTATCCTAAAATTAGAGTCATGATGAGAAGTATTTATTTTGCAACTTCATTATATTGACATACACACAAAAATATAGAACAGATTATCATAAATAGGCAAAGGAGAAATCAGCATTTCCTATAATGGCTTTGGGTTTACCTAACATGAAATCATTCTTGTTGTGTTTGACTTTGATTAATCTAATTATGCTTGATCAAGTTGAGGCAAGGTATTACATTGATCCAAGTGATCTTGATCCTTGTGCAAAATCTGAAAATAAATATCCAGAATGTGCTAACAAGAAAGAAAAATATCGTGAAAAAGCTAAATATAACCGCGGCTACGTAGCGATTAACCGTTATCATCGGAATGGCAAATTTAGAGGATAATGGCAAGGCAAATCTTATGTAAACTAAGCAAATGAATGGCTATGTTATTTTTTTGTAATGTATAATGAGCTTCATGATTTAATGATCATGTATCTATTTTGTAATCAATAATTATGTCAAGAATCATATTTGGTCATTATTGACCATTTCCTTCAATGAAAATAATTTTTCTTTTGAAAGTAATTAAACTTAATTATTTTATGAAAGCACGTGTTGTGATTCATCTTAAAGGAACACGGGGTATGGTGTTGTGGTTCGAAATAGTAATGTCATTTTTGTAGCTGGAATTGCAGGATTTTGTAATAGAAATTTTTGCACCTAGAACAGTAGAAGCAATTGAACTTACGGTAAAAATAAAAAAAAAAACCGATTCGAACCAAATTGGTAAAAATACTTTTGGTCAAGAGGACTCGAACTCCTCACATAAATGAAAAGACCAACCAGACCACCACCTGATTGGTTAATACAAAAGTAATTTATATTACCTTTTTTTTTCATAATTAAATTATCTAATAAATAAGTCAACCAAAGATCTTTGAGTAATTTAGTTAGTTATACTGCTTTAGAATTTTGTATTTGAATTGAGACAATCTAATTTAGTTTTTTTAATCAAAATCTTATAAAAAAATGGCATATCAATTTCTCTGAAAGTTTATAATTCTAAATAAAAACATCAAACTGATAAATTATTCATAATCATCCAAGTAATTAGCAGGCTAATTACTAGTTCTTTTTCTAAATTTTGTAGTCAAGTGCATAATTGTGTGAAAGATAGCATTACATTGAGAATAAATATATATTTTCTACATTGCTTTTTGTTTTTGTTAAGTTTATAGTAATTATTATATCATATGAGAGGGTTGTAATAATCACACCATGATATAAAATATTATTTTTGATTTTTATAAAATTTATATTTTATAAATTTAAAAATGTATATTTATATAATAAATTGTTATATTTTTTAAATTTAAGAAAATATTTTATGAAATAGTTACCATATTGAACTAACATTGAACTAACATTAACCGATAATTTATAACAATAAAAATTCACCACAACCATGCATGAATAACCATATTTATAACAATAAAAATTCGTTAGCCCTATTATTATAACTATCCTAAAATTAGAGTCATGATAACAAGTATTTAAATTTGCAACTTCATTATATTAACAAATACACAATATTGAAAAGATTATCATAAATAGGTAAAGGAAGAAGCAGCATTTCCAATAATGGCTTTGGCTTTACCTAACATGAAATCATTCTTGTTGTGTTTGACTTTGATTAATCTAATTATGCTTAATCAAGTCGAGGCGAGATATTATATTGATCCGAGTGTTCTTGATCCTTGTGCAAAATCTGAAAATAAACCTTCAAGATGCGGTCGTGAAGAAGCTAACAAATATAATCGCGGCTACGTAGCCATTAACCGTCGTCGGAATGGCATATTCAGACATTAAAATGTAAATGTAAGGCCATTTTTATGTAAACCAAGCCAATGATAGGCTATGTTATTTCTTTTGTCATCCTTTTCGAAAATGGATTAATTATCACCTTAAAGATTAATCTCTGTCAAGATCAAGAACATCTCCAAATAGAACTATACTTGTATTTCTTATTCCTACAAGAATATTATGATGTAATCAACTCATATTCAATATTAATGAATTGTTAAGTTTTTTTTTTTTTTTTTTTTAAGTAATAATTGGTTAAGTTTTTTTTTTTTTTTTTTTTTTTTTTTTAAGTAATAACTCTCCACAATTTCAAAAATTTGTATTGTAATTTGCATTTCGCGAGATCTGTAATTAGTAATCTCTACTCATTTAGGTTGGTCTGCTTAAAAGTTCTAATCATAGGATATCTCCAGGTGTTCAATTTTCTTTTCAATCAAATTAATAAACAAGATTAATACATAATTTTAGTTTAATTTACATTGAAGTGAGCATTAGGTTCTAACATAGTTCTTTCCCATTCAAAAACATCAGAATTTTCTTTATCTTGAAATGACAAAACCTGTGAGTCTAGTGGTTTCTTTCCAAGAATGTTTGAGATTATCACCATTAGAGTTTGACAGGCATGATGCTCCTCCATCTTCTGCAGATCGCTAAAAATAAATGAACTGCGCCCAAAAGGTTGCTCAAATGTCCTGCAAAAAAAAAAAAAAAAAAAAAAAAAAAAGAAATAATTCGACCAAAGGTTTTACAAAATGTTATGTTTATTGAACACACCAGGTAAACGCAACAGAAACACTCAGATCGTCATGCTATTCCAATGCAACAAGACAAAATAAATCAATAAATGAATGAACTTCCAACCTAGCTTTCCAGTTTTTTCAAACCAATGATCTGTTTCAGGAAAAAGAAAAACAGAAAAAAGAAAAACTTGAAAACCCTTTAAATTCCCCACAATTCCAAATATGGGTTCATTTTGCATGAGCAATAGATTTTCATCTTCTGAGTTTACAGAACCACAATGTCCTGATCAAAAAAAAAAAAAAAAAAAAAAAGAAATATTAGACCAAAGGTTACAAAATGTTCATGTTTCATTGAACACAGGTAAAACGCAACAGAAACACTCAGATCGTATGTATTCCCAATGCACAAGACAAAATAAATCAATAAATGAATGAACTTCCAACCTAGCTTTCCAGTTTTCACCAATGATCTGTTTCAGGAAAAAAGAAAACAGAAAAAAGAAAAACTTGAAAACCTTTAATCCCACAAATTCCAAATATGGTATTTTGCATGACATAGATTTTCATCATTCTGAGTTTACAGAACACAATGTCCTGATCAAATTATATGTATTTATCATCTTTCTTGCTCATGGTGACTATCTGTAATTTGAATTATAACATTTTGGTCAACACAATGGAATAGTGTTGCTAAACAAGTTTGTGCATCTACTTTTGCAAACACGTTTGTAGTGGATAAAAGAGGTTGCAGGATGAAGAAATAATGCAAAAGAACTTGTGTACCATCTCCATTTAGGCTTGGCTTCTGGGGGGCAACGAACTTTTGATGACAGTGATACCAGAGCAGTTCGGTAACCATGCTTGAAATCTGATCCATGTTCAACATAAATTCATTAAAATAAAATAAAATAAAAAAAGGAGTAGCAAAATTAAGTTGCATAAAACAAATTGAATTCAGATAATTTCCCAGATGAAGAAGCTAGATTATGAACAGATAAATCACAAATAATTTGAACTTGCATACCTGGATGTTCGGAGGAACCAAAAGAAAGTAGAAGACACAGCGCACAAACAACTGAAGAAAACAGTGGACCATCCAACTCAATAAACTGTTGGAGGTAAAATATTGTTTCAGCTAATACCTCATGGCCATCAAATTTAGAGTTGTTGCTTTCTATAATTCCATTTTCTACATATGTTAAAAAGGACAACAAGGATTTTGAACTTGATCTTTTTGAAAATTTGTAGTTTGCATCATGAAGCTTCCGTGAAAGCTTCCCAAGAATAACAGCAGCAACAAGCCAACGTAGAAGTTTTGAGATCAAAGAGTCCTCAGATGCTGTTTCCTTGGAGAAAATCATTAGACTGGCATGTGATCTTCTAAAGTTAAAATTCTTCTTTGATTCAGACTTCAATGCAGTAGAAACTGCCCACATAAGGAAGCCTGAAAGCTTTACCTGATTCTGTAAAAGACATTCAACAAAGATATCCTTAAGTAGAGTAAGAGTAAAGTAACCGCCACAAGTTTCGCACAAAATACAGAAATATAAACTAAAATGAGAAAAATATTTAGATTCACCTAATTCAAGAAAAGTACACCATCTATAAATGCAATCACAAGTAAACTAACTCCAGTTGTAGAAAACCCTATCAGAAAGCCGTTAAGTACACCATATTAGACCTACTTTTTCCCACTTCATTTTTCTTCACTCTATAAAATATTCTCTGTGGGTACCATAACTAGAACATCATAAAATCTACTTTCTGCCTTATTTTCTCAATTTTTCAACTAGCTGCGTGGGTGTAAATCAGACCATCACATCACATGCATGGAGAGAGAGAGAGAGAGAGAGAGAGAGAGAGAGAGAGACCATAGAGAAAATGTCAATGGGTGGAGTGCTTCTGAGTATGGCTTGAAGCCCAAACTCTACACTTGGACTAGGCCTTGAGGTATCACATGCACCAAGGGCCTGATAAATTTGAAACAACCCCTCGAATGATAGATTAAAATGCGGTTGATACGTATCCCTTCTCTGTGATATCTTCAATGTTGATATAATTATCTGTAGAACTGAATTAATCAACCAAGCATTTTCCTTAATAAACTTCAAGCCACGAACTAGGAGTTTGTACAGATGAGATGAGAATTCCATTAGGTGATCAAGTCCATTTTTTTGCAACCACTCTATGATGTCTCCGCATAAAATAATATCGGATACAACCTAAGTCCAAATAAAAAAAATAAAAAAAAAATTAGCAAAACAAAGCAAATATTCTCAATCATAAATTGCAAACGAAGTATATAGTTCTTGTGAGGTTATAAAACTAGAAGAATGATTCATTTAATACAAAAAAAATTTTCTCCAGCAATATTGGTTGCATCTGCAAGAGTTTCATCTCCAGCTATATTAGCATCTTAAACATTTTTTTTCATATAGTGAAACAAACACAAGACAACACATGAAACTAGCAACTACCTCTATGGCCACAACCAATTGCAGTGAAGAAAAACTTCTCTCCTTTTCGTCTAGCGTGCCATAGGAGATCTGGAGTATATGTGACAACCATGGTAAGAGACCAGAGTCTTTAACTAGATGAGTAGTCATATCATGAAATCTGACAGATTTCTTCACTACCTGCAAAGGAAATTAAGCCACCGGAATATCATATTTCCCCACCTCCTAACAACAGCAGAGACGTAATCAAACGCAGTCCTGCAACTCAACAGACTAAAATATATAGAGATCATCTAGGACCACTAGGAGAAGCGCTGTTCCATATATTTGGGACATAAAGAAACTTTGTTCAGTACTATGCAGAAAGCCAAACCAGTTTAATTCAGAAGTATGTCAAGGTTTTAGAAGAATTCTGCTCTTATGCCTTTTAGGAAAAGTTTGTATGCAGAAAGCCACACATATATTGCTTCAGATATACATAAAGAAACTTTGTTCAGTACTATGCAGAAAGCCAAACCAGTTTAATTCAGAAGTATGTCAAGGTTTTAGAAGAATTCTGCTCTTATGCCTTTTAGGAAAAGTTTGTATGCAGAAAGCCACACATATATTGCTTCAGATATACATAAAGAAACTTTGTTCAGTACTATGCAGAAAGCCAAACCAGTTTAATTCAGAAGTATGTCAAGGTTTTAGAAGAATTCTGCTCTTATGCCTTTTAGGAAAAGTTTGTATGCAGAAAGCCACACATATATTGCTTCAGATATACATAAAGAAACTTTGTTCAGTACTATGCAGAAAGCCAAACCAGTTTAATTCAGAAGTATGTCAAGGTTTTAGAAGAATTCTGCTCTTATGCCTTTTAGGAAAAGTTTGTATGCAGAAAGCCACACATATATTGCTTCAGATATACATAAAGAAACTTTGTTCAGTACTATGCAGAAAGCCAAACCAGTTTAATTCAGAAGTATGTCAAGGTTTTAGAAGAATTCTGCTCTTATGCCTTTTAGGAAAAGTTTGTATCAAAGTTTACTTGATAAAACTGGTCAAGATGAGAAATCTGAAATTGAAAAATGAAGAATCTCCGGATAAGAAATTTCAAAATCTTGTGTAATTCATTAATACTCCAAAACACTAGATTCAAAAGTGGGAGGCCACTAGTATAACGTATAATATCTTTAGATAATCTCAAATTCTTGTTTCTTATGCATTTAATTAGCCAACATTTCACAGAAATTAATGGGCTATGCAACAAGACATCATAGAAATGTGACAGAATTCTACTGCCAGGAAGCATACAAATAACCTGAAGTATTAGTTCCTTAGACTCATTATCTGCAAGAGGAGTAGCATAAAAACTCAGTAGGGTCTTAATAATGAAACCATTCTTAAATATTTTTGCATCATCATCTACATTCAGTCCAGCACATGTTAGACGGAGCATCCACAGCCTCTCTGCTCTGAAGTTAGCAGAGCTACTCCGAAACAAAGTATCAAACATAGGTATTTGCTGCAAAATCAAATGAAGTAAATAAATTATCAATCTACAGTTCAAGTTGCAAAACAAAGAAAAACATATAAATTCAAGCCCAAAAATTTGTTCTCATAAAGCTTATACCTCCATGTTCACTTTAGAAGAATGCATCAAATGCTTACTTATGGCTGTAAAATGATCATTTGAAGGATCCAATAATATGAAGGATGACTCAGCAGCAAAAAGAGCTATAACAGAAGGAATTTGCTGCCACGCTTCTTTGATTCCATTTTGAATGTATGTCAACAGAAGGTGAAGCCGCATTATTTCCTTTTTCTTTTGGCATCTCTGTAATAAATAATTTGAGAAGTAATTTAACTGACAAATGAAAGCAAATCACACACACCTATAAGTAACAGGAATGTATTGTCTGACTCAATATCATAAGTTCCAGCTACTGTACTCAATATCCCACTGTACATTACATCTAGAACTCCAGGAAACCTATTTATTTGAAATGTTACAATAAAAGTTAAAACATTGTTAAGTTTGTTGCTTTCTTGCATTAGAAAAGAGCTATCTATTGTCCTGAATATGGGTGTAAATGAGCCGAGGCGGTTCGCGAACTGTTCGAGCTCAGCTCAAAAAGAGTTTGAAAAAGCTCGGCTCGAATCGAGCTTGAGCCTAATGATGTTCAACTCGAAAGCTCGTCGAGCCTTATCGAGCTTTTATATATACATATATATATAATATTATTTTAGGTTATCGAGGTTAAAATTTTCTGAATTGAACACGAGCCTCAAGTCGAGCTTGAACCAAGCTCAAGCTTTCATCGAGCCGAGCTCGAGCCTAAATTTTCAGGCTCGTTGATTTTTGAGCCGAGCTTCAAGCCTGGCAGTCAGGTTCGAGCTCGGCTCAACTCATTTACACCCCTAGTCCTAAACAGGATGACATATGCAAATTTAACTGAACTTCTAAAGCATCAACCAATCCAAGAACCTAGTTTGAAAACAAACATGCACATGCACGAGCACACAAGGCAAAGACACACTCCAACTTAGATGCAAACTCACCTACAGAAACTCAATGCACATGCATAAGTGCCACAAACCAGAAACAGCAGAGAATGAGCTTTACCTCTAATGCGTTCTTATACCTCATGAGAGATTCATAACCCAGTTTTCTCAACCCAAGACTAGGTGAAGAAATGCTAATAAATGTGATTGCAAGCAAGCCCAAACCAGCAAACTCCAAAGGTTCAATATAACCCATCGGCAGGACATGAATGCAGAACCGCAACATAAAAATAGGATCATACCGACATATTTTGTCAACTCCATGACAATTTGTCTGCAAATAGTATAGGTGTAAAATATCCCAGAGATACACAAATATGCAAGTCATTAAAAAGAAAAACTTTGGTAAAATGGCAAAGGATAAGGCCCTACCATGTGAAAATTCCTTAGGTGCTCTGGTTCAAACCTTTTTAATGATAAACAGTCATCACTCACAATTCTATTGTAGGGAAAATGAAGAACTGTTGCCAAACACATCTTGGGGTCAACAGGAAGGATTTCTCTAAATTGACTTCTTTTATGTTCTTCAAATGCTTCTTCATCAGTCATAATATTAGAAGATGAGTCCTGGTCCAAAGCTCGTATTTTTCTTATTTTCAAAGCAGCACTTCCCCACAGGTAATCCAATTGAACAAGATCTTCAGAGATTGATTTATCAATACATTCAATGTCATGCATTAGATTGTAAATCTCCAAGTCCAATTCACTAAGCGTTGCACCATAGGAAGACAAAAACAATAAATACAGTTCTTTAAGATTAATGTCAGTATCTGTTACAGAAGAACCACCACTCTGAGGCTTCAATTGAAAAAGTACTCTAAGTAGTTTAACAATTTCTAACTCCTTCATAGAAGGCTTAATTGTTTGCAGATCATTCTTGCTGTTTGGATGAGGGATAACAAGTGATCTCAGAATGCTGGACATAGGCCTAAAAAATTCACCAATCTGAGAACTACATGAATCTGTGATCGAGCAAATGGTAGACAAAAACTGAGAGTGGGAAAGAAGCAGCTGAAGATACAGAGTAGATGAAAATTTCCCACCTGACAACAATGTTAGGATACTACGAAGAATACCCAAAGTTTTAGGATCCTCAAACCTATAAAGAAGAGATGATCTCATCAATTGTTCAAGAAAAGGAATATCTTGCAATAAGATAAGAACATCACACATCTCTGCTGTTAATTCAAGAATAGTTTTCAGAATGAACAATTCCAAGTGTCTATACAACTGTAAACAATCAGAACTCTTTTCTCCACTGGAACCATCTGCAACTAAAGGGAATTTCTTAACCATGCATTGCCAAGTACCAACCAAAATCTTTATGAACTGCATTCTTGATCGACTCTCTTTATTAGAAACCATTTTCAATGAGATTGCTTTCGAGTTCCCGTCTTCTTCTTTTGGTGGAGATAGAATCTTATTATCCGCTTGAAATAACAACATCCTGCAGAATGATACCTTTGCAACAACTCTATTGATAAGGTTTAGTGACTGGCTAAGTGAATAAAGTTTTATTTCATCAACATCAGAGTCTAGCAGCTCATCATGTCCATCAGAGCGAGTAAGAATGGAAGTAAATATATTCAATCTCTCCCTTGTTTTCATGTCTCCACTAATAGCAAAATGGTACCGTAACATGTGCATTGCCTTTCCCAGAAGACTAGCATCCACCAGGTTGATAAGTTCTTCAATAGATGATGGGACAAGCTCATCATAATTTTCCTGAAAAACATACCCAGATACAAAGCTCTTCCAGTTACAGCAACCACTTAATAGTATTTTTGAATAAAAGGAAGGTATATTAGTGAACTGCTTGTGATACTGCTTTTCAAATTTCATGAAAACTGAATTCAAATATGAAAATGCAGCTGGCAGCAGCAACATAAAGTCCTCATCTGAAAGAGGCATTTCATTGCTCTCTTTCACCATCTTCCCCTTAAGATGACATTTTTTGTTCAAAATTCCTAAGAATAAGTATCCAAACACTGATAGATGCAGGGGGCTCATGTCAACAAGAAACAACAACAATTTAGCTTTTGTCTTGCTTGTGCCATATATGCAGTGAGAAAGAATTTCTACTGGGGTGCTCAAAATAACCCTTGACAATACCATACTTAAAGGATCAAGTGAATTGCATAGCATGTTCTTCTTCCAGTGGACAGCATTGACAGCTTCTAGCAAACAAGAGTATGCAAAATCCAATTCAAAATTGGTGGCAAACTTCAATACCCTAAAATAGATTCCCTCAATAAGGTTAACATTCAAGTTTGTCTCTTGCATTTCCCAGAAAGTATGGAACAGTGGTCTCATTGTTGCAGGCTGCTGCAAATAAGTAGATAAAATTTTGAAAGCATCGCCAGCAATACAAAATCCAATAGAAAAAGCAGATGTCCTACAGGATTTATGAGCATTCAAACCCTTTGCTTCGATTCTATCAAATATCCAATGGGCTAAATCAAAAAGCTCAAATGGGCAAGTAAAGTGTAGCAAAGCATGCAAAGCATAAAATGATTGCAGAAGAGGCAACACATCTTCAGTCTTAATACATAGATCTACCTGGTCCATCAGTTGCACACGTAACCTCTGTATCAGGGCTTTGAAAGCCTTCACAAGCCGCTTTCTCATGCCATCTTCAACTTTAAGTAAGTAATGTTGCCCATTGGACGAAGACAGCAAGAAATTAAAAGTAGTTGCTAGGATATCCAAGAAATGACGATCTATTTGATGAATTTTCTGCTGAGAAAAATTAAGGAAAGCCTCTACATTGTCCCAAAAGTTTCCCTCTGTAAAATCCTCATCAATAAAATTCTCATCACAGTCCAATGGATACTTGAAGGATGCCCTCATGGAAGGATGGCAAAATATAGTTTCAACCACTTCTTGAATAATCTTAGCTGAAAGAGGATCCTTGGAATTAGGCTTCAAAACCAATAGTTGAGCAAGCATGTGCTTCATAAGAAAATAACATATTTCAGCCAACTCTTTCAATTTAGCCGATGGTTTAATTCTATATGACAATTGCATCTGATAAAACCAAAATAAAAGAAGGCGAAAATAGGAAACTACAAAATCACTTGTGCATTTGGATAGTTTAGCGATGAGCAAATCTTTTATCTTTGAAGGCTCAAATAAACAATGTCCACTACTACTTATAATTGCAGGAAACAGCACATGAAAAGGTGCCTGACTCAGAAAGATGCCAAATGCAACAGCAGCAGTAGATTCACTAGCATCAAAATCCATATTAAGCATTGTTTCTTGAGCAAAAGCGTTGTCTTCTGCGACTTGAGGATTAATCATAGAGACAGCCTTTTCTAGACCAGTGACGAACACTTTAGGCCACAACTTCAAAACACCAGCAAGAAAACTTTGCTCAAGAAAAATTACTGTGGATAAGAAAGGTAGAGGAACTTGAAGATGCTGAAAAATGGTCATAACCATTGGAAAATTCTTTAGTAACCCATCTGATGTTGTACACAAAATTGCAGAAGAAAAGGCGTCCATTGCTCCATCAACCTCACCATCATGGCTACGCTCTATAATTTTTCTTACTTCATCAAGCGCTCTTGTGAAAGAAATGTCAACAGGAATATCTTTTTGGTCAATGAGAAAAAAGCAGCAGGTCTTTTGATGCAATATGCTCTCTGCAAAGAGCAATAAATTCTTCAGCGGTTGCCATTCACAGAAGAAATCCATAGAATCACAATCCTGAAGTGCCTCAGACAAAAATGATCTAAGCAAAGCAGCTAACAAGCTTGCATCTACCTACAAAAATTTAGTTCTCATTATGTCATGCACAAGAGCCTTGCAAATTATAAGTTAAAACACGAAAAACGTACCTGAGTTTGCAAGAGATATTTCAATGTATTGCCCACATAAAAAGATATCATTGACTTATCTGGTAATGAAAAGGATCCAGATTCCGAACCAAGTAACCTCACACACTTCTGCAAGACACATATTACGAAAGGACTGAAATCAGGTGAAATATCTGCAAGGAAAACAAGTTAAAAAAAATCAAAAAAAAAAAAAAAAGAAAAAGGCATCACTTGCAATTTTTTTGGAGGAGCATAAAGAGCTGATTGGCATCTCATGCAATCCAGTCAAACCAGACAGGAAAACAAGAGCCAATTTTCAGGACTTCCAAATATTAAATAGAACTCCCTCCGTTCGATTAAATTTCACAGTTTTTGACTTTTCACAAGAATTAAGAAAATGATTGAATCATCTCAACTCTAGAAAAAAAATAAGGGTAATTGACCAAATTACCCTTTAATTAATCCTCATTCAATTGAAACAAAGTTTAGTGCAATATCTAGACAAGGATAAAGTTGGAATAAAATAATTAGTACTGTGATTTTCTAAAGTGTCATCTAAATGAACACAAAAAAAAAGGTCAAAAACTGTCAAATTTAACAGAACGGAGCGAGTATTAATAGTTTTGTACAAAAGCAAGGTGAATAAGAGTGGCTCTTCCTAAGGTTGTGCAGATTGCTTCTCTACTTGATCCAATGGAGAAGAAATTTTAATTATGCAAGAATTACTTGTTGGTAGCAATAATGTTTAATAAGTACATAGACAGTTTGAGATGAGGCCACTAAGAACAGAAGAAGAATAAGGTAACCCAGGCCTCATGCAGACTTAACAAGGCATTGCACCCAGTTCTATAACTAGGTCAGAATAGTAATCTCACAAAGACATCGTTTCTCCTTATAGAATGTAGAACGTGAAATTTTCTATGATATTCTCAACAAAACACAGTCAAGTGGAGTAATAACGATCACAATGAAATCGACTATTTTCACGACCAAAATTGTTATTTCGAAAGGAACTACATGCACAACCCAGAAAATATACTGGCAACATGGAAGGGGAATGGGTGTCTCATATGGATATGCATCCACATGAGGAGCCAAACCAAAGCTTTGCGGTGACCAACATGACCAATTTGTTACAGAAGGAATTCAAGATGCAGAAATCCAGGCCCTCAAGGAAAGGATAAAGTCAAATAGCAATCAGCCAAAATAGAAAGGAAGTGACATATCTGCATATAGATACCTAGCAGTAGTTTTAATACAGATGCAAAACCATATGAAGGCATAGCTTGGACAGCATTTATTAATACTCTTTATCTTTTAGAACACAAATATGTCATTCTGCCCATATTCTCTCTAAAGACAAACACTATCATGAATCCAAAGTTCCTCTCCAATATATCAGAATCTATGCATTTCATAACTGGAAAATTGAACAGTCTTCATCATGAAACAATGTTGTGTCTATCTGCCTATATCATTCCACATTCACTCTGGGCAGCAATGGTTAAAGCGACAAATCCACGTAAATACCAATATACACGCCGACTGATGCGTCCCACATCGCCCGCGGAGTAGAAATCTATGCTTTCCATCACGAACTTTGGAAATTTGAACCAGTCTTTCATCATGAAAACATGTTGTGTCTCCACATTCACTCTGGGCAGCAATGGTTAAAGCGACAAATCCACGTAAATACCAATATACACGCCGACTGATGCGTCCCACATCGCCCGCGGAGTACATCCTGGGCTAGTGTATACGGCTGGATTCAGTCCTGCCTCTACGAGTTAGCTTTTGGGGCGAAGTTAGGGGTCCAGTCCCTTATCATTTGGTATCAGAGCTCTGGCTCCGTAGAGTCGGTGTCTCATGGGGTTCGTCAGAACGCCGACTGAGGCAATCGGGTCTTATGGGGGTGGGGATGATGCGTCCCACATCACCCGCGGAGTACATCCGCTACTGTTATAGAGGCTGGTGTCAGTCTTCCTCTGCCGACTGAGGCAATCGGGTCTTATGGGGGTGGGGATGATGCGTCCCACATCACCCGCGGAGTACATCCTAGGCTAGTGTATAAGGCTGGGTTCAGTCCTTCCTCTCTGCGCTAGCTTTTGGGGCGAAGTTAGGGGTCCAGTCCCTATCACCAACTATAATCCAGTTGCAATTTAGACCAATATATTTCTCATCATATCGACTGCAACCAATACATGTATACACCAACTATTAACAAACTTTCCAATAACAAATAGAAGGCCACAAAATCATTCCACATTCACTCTGGGCAGCAATGGTTAAGGCGACAAATCCACATAACATACCAATATGCACACCAACTATAATCCAATTGCAATTTAGACCAATATATTTCTCATTATATCCACTGCAACCAATACATGTATACACCAACTATTAATAAACTTTCCAGTAACAAATAAAAGGCCCCCAAGACCTTCTTTGGTTCCAGTAAACTCTCAAAATTGAAAAAACCAAATTGTGGCCGATAAGTATCAATTAGGTACCATATCGATTTGATCAATGGGTCTATTGTCCACATATATCTAAGTTTAACAAAACAGTTCAATGAAGAAATCAACTAACCACAACTTGACTAATCTTTAATTCCAAATTAGCTGGAGTCAGCTATATTGGTTCCTTGTCCTCCAATCCACCTAGTTTAAGGCTACATCTAGTGCAACACTTCTTTGTTCACAACTTCTCCCCAACATCACCCAAAAATTAACAAAAACAAAGACCTGAAATATGTAAAGAAAGGAAGCGATGAAGTGGTCAACAATGACCACCACTAAATCAGGACTGAGGCTGAGCTGAGTTGAGTTCATGCGCAGAAAAGAATGGGAAGCACATTCATATAATGATTTCCTTTAAATGTGCAAATTCAATTCATAAAAATGAAACATGCAATATAAGAAAAGGAGAAAGCATTCAATCACCTTTAAATTCATTTAAATCGACAGTATGTTTCCTAACTGCATCCCAGTATCTAAATAAATTATTCCCAGTAGTAGAAATAGCATCACAAAAGAATGAGATGACAGCTGATGACAAGTTGTGCGACACTTCTGTTCCTTGGATCTCGCCAGATGATTTAACTATACTGTATCCCGGTAAAAATAAGAACCACGCAGCTGTTTCATGTGAGTTTTGGTCAAATGCACCCGTACTTGCCATAGCTGCTCTTGCCAAATTGTATGCTTGAACCTTTATTTCACTAACTGGTGAAAAGACTAGCAAATTAAGAAACGACTGCAGATGCTTGTACATCAGTGGTGGAGTTCTCGTGGCAATTCCACTCACAGGGGACCATCTAACAAACCCAACTAGAAGAGACAATAAAGAGCACTGGAGATTAGATGGCAATTCTGAATTATTGCTGAGAAGATTCACAAAAAAATCAAATGATCCCTCCAACTCACTGGGCATGATCACCTGTACAAGGTTAAATTAAGACCAATGTAAGAGTTAATGATCAGAAACGGTTTTGGGGAAAAAAAAATCAAGAATAGTGATGACTTCAGAATTTAGACAAAGTCATAAAATTACAGTCATCCAAATCCATGATTTATTCAAAACACATACAGAACTAATGGCCCATGCACTAGGTGTAGAAAAGGGTCAGCAACAGGATTCTACCAGAACAGGATCACGAATAACGAACACGCAGAAAGTGCTGTAGTAAAAGAAGAGCCTATGTTATTTAAATTGCAAAGTGCAGCTCAAATCTTTACATTGGCTAAAAAACCCTAGCCCGCATACCAAGAAACTTGAAGTAGCAGAGATGAATCACTCAGAGAGTTGAAATATGAACTTGCAAAACCTACTAAATTTCAGTTTATATGCCATTTCAAGTAACTGCCAAGGCAGCAGAGGAACCAGCATCAAAATTTAGTGTGCTACTGTACAGTCAAAGGAAAAATAAGTCCCAGAAACCAAGCGGGGCAAACTTCAAAAGGCTGAACAAACAACGGACATTATGACACAAATGAAGACTAAATGACCACAAAAATCCTAAATTCCCAAACACTAAAAAATTTTATCAAATTCCGTTAATCCTACCTATTACATAAATAGACTTTTTTTTGTTTTAATTTTAGCAACTGCTAGCTCTCCATCAAAATCAACTATACAATCATAGCCATTTTCTTATTAATGGTGTTCAATACTGCAAGTAGATTAATTCCATAAGAAAAAAAGATAAACCAAAAGAGAAGGCAGCATAGAAAAATTAAAAAACAAATTTGGGAAAAAAAAAAAGAATAGTTCTGTTTGAAGAAGAAAGAAAATAAAAATGCCTTTAAGTCCAAGTGGTTTGAATTATAGCGCCTACCAGCTGCATTGCTTGTCCTACTCCCTCTTTTGATTTACATGTCAAGTAATTAACATTTAATTCAGATACAGTAAGAACATAAACCAAAAAAAGAAAAGGTTATATGCCTAATTAAAAAATTAAAAGAATTGAACAAAGTTGAAAAAAAATAAAAGTACATATATTTTGGTCATTAGGCCTAAAAAATTGAAAAACAAAGGAACTAATTTAAGGCATAATAACACAAACCATATCTAAAGCAAATAGAAGGCTGATTTCGGCAAAAACAAAAACACATATAAATTAGGTTGTGTACTAAACCATTTAAGCCAAATTACCAAACTAAATGTATTTCAGTTAATCCGTCTTCAGTTCAGTTTCTAAAACTATATATTTTAGGTCATTTGCTTGCTTCAGCTTGGTTTTAGCACTGACAAAACAAAATATATTGTTTAATCAATTTTTTATTATATTGAACAAATATTTTTATATATTTAGACACTTTTTTAATCAAAAAATTCAACTCAAATTCCATAAATCCATTTATTTTGGGCCAAAAATTAAAGGCGAAAAAATTTCTAAAAAACAAATAAACCAACGAAACTGGATTGTTTTATTTTTGTTCAATTGATTGGTTTTTGCAGAAACTCAGTTCAGTTTAATTTTTGAATTTGTTAAACAAAATAAAGTGAACCTATCATATGCTCACCCCTAACAATCACAGAACACATTATTCAAATCTTAAGATATTTTTCACTGAATACTTTGTCTTGAAAAGAACCTTTATTTTTGTATTTGAAAATACATATATACATAAATACATACATACATACATACATGATAAAAAAAAAAAAAAAAAAAACATATTTTGAGGTATATCTTATATCTAAACTTCTTGGAAAATTTAATTACAATGTAATGTCACATGAATACTGAGAATTGATGAAATTAAATTACAAAATTTCATTAAGAGACATTCTTGCTACGCATCTCAAAAAAACCAATATGCAGCCAATGTTAGTTCAACAGTCGCATGTGATAATTTCTTCAGTAAGTAATAATAGTCTGCACGCTTTAGAGATTTTAAGTCCATATCCAACGGCTGTAAAGGATTTCACATACAAATCCTTGCAGCTGTAAAGAATTTCATATTGTAACACATGCCAAGACACAGTTTAATCAGACCCATTAAGAATGACATGCTTTTAGATGTATGGCAAGATCTCCAACCCAAACAGAACTTGAGGTGATATAAACACCATGACATAAAAGAAACACAACTTAGTTAAACCAAACACATTAACCTGAAGGTTTCTGCTTCATTTGAGCAGATGGACTTGATAAAGAATAAAGCACAAGACTTAGGAAATTGAAACTTACAAGATAAATTTTGAGAGCATCAAGAAGCTTAGACTGGAAGAATATTTCTACATCCTTTAGTGTAGAGGCAGTCACAGAGCATAGGCTAGAACCCCACAGTTCTAAAATAGCATTCATAAAATCAACTGTACTGTCCGATGCATGTGAAATTTGTGAATCCACAACATTGTCATCATCCCCAGCCAAAGCATAATCCGGAACTGAACCTAGCCCACCAATAATAATATTTGTGTCCTCATTAAGAATACTCAGTTTCAATTTCTTTGTTCTCTTGTTGCCAAGAAAAAAATTCTCTTTATCTGCTGTTCTTTTCAAGCATGACTCACTAGTCCTAGAATAGCTACTTAAAGAAGAAAGTAGAGTAAGTAAAACTTGGGGATCAGGAAGCAAAGTTCGAATATCATTCCATATTTCCTGCTTGAGTGCTGTCCACTTCTCCATCCTTTCATTCATAGTACAAAGTAGGCTTATATCCCTGAAGAAGCAATCCACAAACTTCAAAGCTTCCAGAAGAAGTCTTAAAGTTCCATTCTTCACAAGAAAATCAGAGTGAAGTAACCCCTTATTTATTACTGATCGGCTCAATGGACGGGAAGATATAATATTCATGATATTTTTCACATCAACACTATCAAAAGAAGGTGGATCATTGGACTGAGAATGAAGGAAACCGGAAGGAATGTCCACAACCACCGAGGAAACTAAGTTCGCTGCCAGAGAAACCATAGAAAACCTGCAAGTATTTCAGTTTCCGCATATATTTGGACGCAGATGGGACAATATAATGATAAAAAAAAAGAAAATAAATAACACGTAGGAATCAAAGACTACATAGTGCATGCAGAAATATACAGAAATCTGACCAGTTAGGAGACGCAAAATCTTCAAGGTTGTAGGGGAAGTCTTCCATATATGCCGAGGCAAAGGACAGCCTGCCCCTGACAATAGCTAAAAGCAAGTCTCTATGGTAGACTATTTCTGTTGCCCTCAACTTCTTCATGAGCTCCAAAAGTCTCTTTGGATTACCTCTTAATGGATTTGGGTGTCTGTTGAAATCTGGCATCAACCCATTGCAAGGATCTGTACAAACCATGAGTAGCACCTGGTGTGCCACCTCTGCAGAGAGTCCACCATTTTCCCTTCCTGAAATGGCAACTAATTGTTCCAAAACAACACTCCCAAAAAGAACACTCCTTAGAGCTGGGGGAACCAATGACTGTTCAGTAAGAATCCTATTCTGCAACGTAGACAAAACATAAGTGATAGTCTCATCATCATCAACCTCAAGCCCACGAAGCACGCCAAAGTACATTTCCCTTTGCTGCAGGACCCACCTCAATAGTCCCGGTTTCCCCATCTCCAAAAATGACATAGCAAACCCAACAAAAGCCTTTCTTGTCGTGTGCTTCCTATTTTTCTCACTCTGCCTCTTTTTGTACTCTGCAAGCTTGGAAAAACCCGGTAGTTTGAAATCAAACTTCTTAGCAACATCAGAAGCCAACCCTGATCCACGCCTAACAACTGAAGCCATCAGCAAAAGAGCTGCTTTTTGCCGCTTTCCTTCTTGACTATTTAGCTCCTTATAAATGACATCCAACTTTTCTTCAATAAAGGAACGAGCAAACTTGTCAAGAGACACACTTATAACAATTCTCTTCTTATCATTTGGCTCGTATTTTCCATCAGGATGATTAAGAATGGTAGAAATTAATGATAATATATAAGACATTCCAGTTTTTCCTTGTCGAAGCTTCAAAGCTCCCACAAGTTCTGAGAAATCTGAAGTTGACTGTACATACAAATGAAGCAATTCACCCCCAGAATCACCTTTTAGCAATTTGATAAATTCTTTTGCAGCATCTGAGCATAACTTAATCTCAATGGAATTAAGCTTATGTAAGAGCTCTCTAAGTTTAACTTCATGAGTTGCTTTACATACAAAGTTCGTATCTTCCCTCTCCTCCACCTCACCATCATCCTCTTCCATTAGAACTACAATTTAACCATGAAAATAGATAAATAAACAAATAAAAAAGTTTTCATTCTTTTAATAAGCTAAAATAACATTACGAAAAGCTTCATCGTGACGGAATCAAACATAAAAACATTACCAAAATCCAAAAACACAATGAAGTAACAATTTCCAAAAACAAAGTACGCTTCTTTTGGCTATTTATCAAATTAGCATCAAAGAGAAAATACTTTTCCCTAATAAATTGAATATAAAGTATACATAGCAATCAAACAGAATGACAAACGTAATCAAGCCCTTCAAAAATGTTGCGTTTTCTGCAGTTTCTCGACATCCAAACATGGAAGTTATAAACAAAGAGAAATGTAAACAGAATTGTGTACCTCGGTCGTCGAAGGCTGAACTTGGGTCCTCCATTGAAGAGAGAGTTCTTTCTCTGGTGTCTGTTTCTGGCCTGTAATTAGGGTTTAAAGCAGAAGGAGGGTTTAAGGATATTGTCTATTTATTTTATAAGCTAAACTTTTTCTTTTTTTTTTTTTTAAGTATTTTGTAAGCTTAATTTTCAAAAAATAAAAAACAAAACTAATATCAAATAATCCTTAAAGTTTCGTTCTTTTTTCAATCAAGTCATGTTTGATTTAGGGGTTGTAATCGACCATTTTCTAAGAAAATTAAATAATATTTTGTTTAATAATACTTGTCGCATTTAGAATTTACATCCCTTAAATAAGTTATTAAATTCATCTAAATTAAAATAAATTATTGAATAAATTGATTATATTTTTCTTAATTTAATATTAATTCTCTAATGAAATCATTAAATTAAAGTAATAGTTATTGGTCATATATAAGTAGTAAACATAAAATACTCTACTGAAATCATTAAAGTTAAAGTGAATAGGTTTATTGGTCATATATAAGTAGTCTAACCATAATACATATATATATATATAGTATATATCTCCTATTACTCCTTAAAATCATAAATATAACAAGTATTTTAAAAAAATTTATTTTCTTAAATATAATAAGTATTATGAAATATAAATAGTAATTCTTTTATATTGAAATTAAAGTGAATAATTGCCAATTAATTAATATTCCCTTCATTCTAAAAAAATAATTTCACTTATTTTTATGCACATTAAGAATGGAATTCAATCATAAAAATTATCTTTTTTTTCTATATATACCCCTATATTAATAATGTTTCGATAATTTAAATTTTGAAATTGTTTATAAAGGTTTTCAATGAAAAATTAATATCTTGGCACATATTTTAATTACTTTATATTTATATTCATTATGTTGTGAGAGAGAATAGGAAAGAATATAATATGACATGTTTCTTTTCATTTTTAAAACATAAATAAGGAATAGAGCATTAAATAGGCTTAAAAAGGATTATGATTAGTACATCAAAGTTGTAGTGTAATTAGTTATGGTTAAATTATTTGACTAAATGTTTAGTAACTTTATGTATATTAATTATGGGCACAAATTATATTACAAGAGCATTATAGAAAAATTTACAAAAATTATTTATAACTATTTTTTTGGAATAAATAGAGTAAAATAAAAATAAAAATAATATATATATATATATATATTAATTTAATTTATAAATTACTATTTATTCAAATTCCACTTTAATTATATATGATGTCATAATCACAGTATCATCTAATAAATACGTTTAATATTAATATTATATGTGCATATTTTCTGTTGAAAAATTCAAACATACAATTAGGAATCAATAACAAAATCACTTCTTATTGTACAAAATAATTTTAAAAAGTAAAAAAGAATATATAATAATCTATATGCATATATTTATGAGCATGAATTCTAAATTTTATAAAATGAAAAAGAAATATCAAGAACCTAATTCCGAAGATATTTTTTAATAATTCAACAATTAATATATATATTAGTAATTATATATATATATATATATTAATTACTGTATAATAGATAATGTAAATTTATTAATTACTGTATAATAGATAATTGTAAATTATCCAATCAAAATTTTCTTAAAAACTAAGGTAATTAATTTTCAATTTATAAACAAAAAAAAATAGAACATTGAGAATGAAAAATTCCAAGTCGATCTTTAAAAGCTTTTATTTGTTTCAACTATATATATTACAATCAATATTACATATAATTTTAAAATTAAAATTATACATATTTTTCTTTTTTTATCTCCCCCAATTAAAAATATTTACATTATAATTAAAAATATTAAATATATATTTTTAATAGATATAAAATTAAATTGTTTGTTTATAATTTTAAAATCTTTTAAATTACAATCAAATGTTAATATATATATTTTTAAAATTTAAAATCTTTAATTTTTTTCATCTTCCTTATCTTTCTTATAATTAAAATCTTTTAAACTAAAATTATACACTTTTTTTCAATTTTCTTATCTCTCCTAATTAAAAGTCTTTTCCAATATGATTGGATTGGTTCTAGTTCTGGTCAATTCCAAAGCGGTTCAGGTCATGATCCGAATACCGTTCCAATGATGCATATATTTTTTTCCAAAAAAAGATAATGAAAATTCAATTCTAGGATTACATCTTTTTCCAAAAAAAAAATGTAAATTTGAAAAATATTAATAAATTTATGTTAAATAACTCTTAGAATACTTATACTCATTTAAGAAATAAAATTCAATAACTTTGCAAACAAATGCAAAGTAATATAAAAAAGATTATGATTTTGGAAGGAAAAAGAATGTTTCCAACGATGTAATTTTTGACTAAATAACAATATTTGGGTCAAACTATTAAAAAAATTTTAAACTTTGTGAATTGTTTTAATTATTTTAAATTTAACTTTATTCTTAGGTACCCTGAACTTAAACATTAGTTATAATAGCTTCAAATTCAAATTCTCCCTTATTTAACTAATAAAAAAAATATTTTTATAGGACTTACAATTTATTTCATGCTCAGTTTAACCCAAGGAATGGGTTAATACAAAACATACCATTTTAAACTTCTCTCAACCCCATCACACTGCTCCATCTCCTGCGTCGCCGATCACATTTCCGATTATTATCTGGCAAAAATAAGGCAACATTTTTGTATGTTTTATAAAATTGATTTGACAATTGGATTATTTATTTTTGCGATTTTTTCTAAGGCAACATTTATTTGTCAATTTCTCTATTTGAAACAATGTCTTTTGGTTTAACCCCTGACCATGAGAGAAGTGCCCAAAAAAATATTTTTATCTGTTAAATTAGGTAAAATGTGGTTTTGGGATGCTATTGTAACTCATATTTAATTTCAGAATATCTGAAGAAAGTTAGATTTAGAGTAGAATTAAAGTAATCGTAAAGTTTGAGATTTTTTTAATGGTTTGGCCAAAAAATTTGAAACGAGAAAAACACGGTTGAATTGTCGTTTGTAACAAACAATGTAATTTTAGACTATGTATTTCTTTTTTTTTAATGTAAAAACAGTAAATATTGTAAAATCAATTAAAATTAGAATAGATGTATGTACAACAATTAACACATCATATCAAACCAAATAGAATCGAGAATCCTACATTATCTCTACAGTATTTACTGATTGCATAAAAAATTAATAGAGATACTTTCAACAATAAAGAACAGATCAAAAATAAAAATCAACATATCTTATGAATCAAAAATGAAAAACCGTGGAACAACACAAATAATGAGAAGAATGACAGCAAAAGGAAAAAAAATGATAAAAAAAAATGAACGACATTAATAAAGGCTAAAAAAAAAACGGCAGTAGAAAAATATTAACATACTGATAAAAAGGAAACAACAATGAAAATAAAAATTAATACAAAAAGAAGCACTAATATAAAAAAGGAAACAACGGTGAAAATAGAAAATTAATACAAAAGGAAACACTAATATATTAAAACACTAAAATATTAATAAACTAATGCCCACCAATAAAAAAGGACATAATAATAAAAATATATCATAAATGATAATAATTTAAATCTCGAAATCAAACTGATATTTTTTAAAATTAAGTTTCAAAAACTGATGTTTAGTACAATATCCCATATCTTAGTGCATATCCAAAACTCAGTTTAGACCTTCAAAATTTTTTTAAGGGATATTATACTAAATGTCAATTTTTGAAACTTAATTTAAAAAAATGTCAATTTAAATTTGAGATTTAAATTATTATCATTGATGATATACTTTTACTATTGTACCTTTTTTTATTGGTGGGCGTTAATTTGTTAATATTTCAGTATTTTAATATATTAGTGTCTCCTTTTATATTAATTTCCTATTTTCACCTTTGTTTCTTTTTTTTTTTTAACATGTTAATATTTTTTGTTGCTGTTTTTTTAGCCCTCATTATTTTCTTATTATTCTTTTTCCTTTAATTATTGTTCTTCTCATTATTTGTGTTGTTCCACGGTTTTGTTTTTGATTTATAAGATATGTTGATTTTTATTTTTCATCTGTCGTTTATTGTTGGAAATATTTTTATCAATTTTTTATACACTCAATAAATACTATAGAGATAAGGTATGACTCTCGATTATGTTTGGATTAATACTGATATACTATGTGTGTGTGTATATATATACACCATATTTACTTGGTTTTATTTAATGTGTTTGGGTTCAGTAGGAATAGGGTTCAGTGGACAATGCCAACACAAAATTGATATACTTCAAATGAAAACTTTATTAATGTTAGTCACCATGGAAGGGAAGCCTGTCAACCGGATTGTCAACCAGGACCAAATGAAAAGATTTTATGCCTGAAATGATGATTTCGATTAATATATAAACTTAAAACAAAACTTTTAGTCAAGTCTTAGTCTTATAGTCAAGTCTTTAAATATAAAAGTCTTTAAGTCTTTATTCAAAAACAAAGCAAGTCTTACACGTCTTTATAAAACAAAACTTACAAGTCCTAGTCAATTCTTTATTCAACAAATCTTTACAAATCATAAATATGAAGAGAAGAAAGATTATTGCTAGGATTTATATAGATACATACACAAATATTTAAATATAGATTATAACTATGAATTAAAATGCTATGATTAATTGGATTTATATGAATACTTATATAATTCATTAAATATAATTTTACTTCAGAATCAACATACAATTTAAACAGTTTTTCTAAGATCAAGGACTAAGCTGCATCCAAGAGCATACTTTATCACAAACAAAATCAATTTACCAATAATTAATTTTTTTTTTTTTTTCAATCAACTCAACCAATTTTAATAAGTTTATTTTTAATTGAGGTTTAGGTTCCTGCAACCTTAACCTGATCCCCAGAATTAAGTCAGAGTGTGGAGGGAGAAGAGAAAGGTGCCGTAAACAGCGACTTATATTCGTAGCAGTTTAAGATTAAAATACCCAAACTTTTATTTAATTACAAAAACAAATACAAATAAAACTTACAACAATTTTACTTTAGACTTTCTCCAACTTGAACTCTTACAA